GGCACCGCGGGGAGCAGGAGCCGGCACCGGCACCGGGCGGGGGGAACCCGCACCGGCACCGGGGGGAGCAGGAGCCGGCACCGGGACTGGAGGGAGCCGCCACCGGGACCGCCACCGGGCGGGGGGAGCCGGCACCGGACAAGAGGGACCGGCAGCGGGACGGGGGGAGCCGGCACCGGGCACCAGGGGGAAGGGGCACCAGAGGGGAGTGGGCACCGGCACTGAGGGAAGCAGGAGCCGGTACCGGCACCGGCGGGATAGCATCACCCGCATCCCGCAGCGAACAGGACGCGCGTTCCTGGGGGTACCAGCCTCCCAGCCCCGTCCCGCTCCACTCGCTCATCTCCACGCATCGGGGGCTGAATCTCACACGGGTCATGACCTCCCCTCTCTACCCCCAGCGTGAAGGGGCCGCTCCCGGAGCCGCTGCTCACCCGCGGAGGGTCGGGGATCCCCGCGCTCAGCCTCGGTCCAGCGCAGGTTGCAGCGGCACCGGCGAGTTATGAGCGAATATCGATCGGCAACCCCAGTGCCCAGCCCGGCCCTCCCGGCAGCCTTTTAATGGTGCTCGGGGGGGAGGGCGGTGGGGGCAGAGCGCTGCCTTCCTTTCTGTTCATCACTTTCGTTTTCTGTTCGCTTCCCCGCCCGGCGCGGTGCACATGCTGCAGAGATCAGCCTCGAGCCAAAAACAAACCCAATCCCCAAATCCACCCCCGGCAGCAGCAGAGTCTCGTTTGCATCGGGCTTCATGGGGCAGAACACACAGCCGGGGGGCAAGAGCCCGCAACCCCGGGTTGTGGGCACATGCCACTGCACAAGCACCATCGCCTGATGCTCAGCACCCGGGTGTGGGGCTCCTCAGCACCTGAGGAGTGGGGGATCCTCAGCACCCGGGGTGTGGAGGTTTCTCAGCCCCCAGCATTGCCCCCTGCCACCTCACCAAACCCACCCCAGAGCAGCTCAGCACCTCATCCCACCATGAGGCAGCGTCCTCCCCTTGTGTGTTTTGGTGCTGCTGCGAATTTGCAGGGGGTACTCACACATAACTGACAAACCCTGCAGCCTGAGATCCCCACAAAACACATAGACCCAAGCTAAAACCCCAGGAAGTCTCTGCAACCCACCTTCAGCCCCAGGAACCCACCACAGCAGCATCATCCCACCAGCCTGGGCATGAGGCTTCAGAAAGTCCCGGCCTGCAAAGCGGGTGTTGCGCTGGGCCCAGCGCTGCAGTCGTGCTCCAGCATTCCCACCTAATGGAATTATCTTCATGCCAGAAGCCAGCTGCAAGCCCTGGAAACAACCAGGGAAAATTAACACACCTCCAGCTACAGGTGGCTGTAAAGATAGCAGGCACCAGAGGCAAAGTCTCCCTGCCAACAGCACCGCTGTTCGATCCCTCCATCGAGCGATGGGCACGTCGTGCTTGGTGGTGCCACCTCAACACAAAGCCAGCCTCAGCCACAGAAAGAGAAGTTTTTCCTCAAAACAAGTGGGAGGAGGAAACACAGCCCGTGGGTCACGCTGGCGGCAGCAGAGCAGGGAGGAAGGAGAGACAGGGACTGGTTTCTGGCGTGTTTGTCAACACAGATGGAAGGAGGAAGAAAAACAATGTTTTTGACCTTCCAGCCATTGGGGGCCTCAGGACCCTCCCCCTGCTCCCATCCAGCAGCACCCTGTGGAGCCCTGAAGGAAAGGGGCTTTCCCACCACTGAGGGGAGTGGGACAGCCCAGGCCTATGGGCTCTGAACAGATCCCACTGGAACAGTGGGCTTCCATGGGAACTGGCCATTCCTGGGTGGCAAACCCACCCAGTTAGTGCACCAATGCTCTGGTCACAGCTGAACCCATGGTGGGACAGCCACCCGAACAATGCCAGGCTCTGCTCCGTGTGCTGTCAGTGGGGACCAGTGGGTGGCTCAGTCCTGCAGCAGGAACTGACCCTCACGGTGCCCCCACACTCTGTGTTCCTGCCCAGGAAAGGGCTTCCCAGCTGACATGAGAACTGTTACAGTTTGGGCAGCACCAGGGCTCCATCCCTGGCTGGGAAGGAGCGATCCCTTCCCCTGTGAGGATGCATTCCTGGAGCCAAGCGAGGCCCGGCCCTGGTATCAGGGTGTTCCACAGAGATACAGCCTGTCCCTGCTTGGTATTGCCTGTGGGCGGAAATCATCCCCCCTTCCAGCCCTGACTCTAAACCACAACAAGGGTTTGTGCGACAGCTCAAGCAAGATCAGTGAAAAACAAACAAAACACCTGAAACAACCCTCCCCGTGTGCCCGAGCCAGGACAGGCAGTGCCCAGCTCACCCAGGTGGAGCAGCCTTGGCACTGAGGCTTCACTCTGGTTTTACAGGTGAGAACAAACTGTTCTCACTCCATTACATAAAGCTTCCAGTCCTGCTCAACACATGCAAAGGCGCGAGAAGCCGCGGAGCAGCGCGGGCAGGAGCCGGCTCTGCTGCCCCTCCATCGCCGGCCGCGGGGCGCAGGAAGCCACCGCCGGAGCAGGGAGGAGGCAAAGCTGCGTCACCACATCCACAGCATTAGGGAGGGGGAGAGCCGAAACCCAGGATTTGCCGATTTTAGACAAACAAACACCCAACCGAAAGCGCTGAGTTTCGGTTTCCGTTCCTGCGGCGGCACGGCTGACAGTCACCGAGCGGTTTCTCCACGAAGTCATCGCTGCTGACCCCCCCTCGCCCCAGATACGCTGCCCTTTGTGTGCTGCACACACACGGCTTGTCCGAGGACGATCTGGGAGGTGGGAGAGCCTTCCCGCGAGGATGCTGGAGCACCTCCTACCCTGGTAACAGCCCTCACCAGCTCAGAGAGACCCAGTGACTGAGTGGACGCTGGTGATTTCTCACAGCGCCCCACTCCCTGGCACCCCCCAGGCATCTGCTAGGCAGGACCATGGCACAGCTCTGCTCCCAACGCTGCCGGTCGGATACCCGGGAAGCAGGAGTCTCTGCTTTTTCCCAAATATTGCAGGCTGCTTCCGTGGATACCTGGAGGAGAAAACGCAAGCAGCCGAGTCTCCATCACCACACAATCCAGGAAAAAACAGGGACTTGGCATGAGTCATCCACAGCCCTTATGTAATTTGTCTCTGGATGTGAGTCGTCCACGGCCGGCTGTGAGTGGAGCAGCTCCGGGCTCCCAATGGGAGGAGAGGGGAGCACGGCTGAGCACCCAAGGACCCCAGGAAGACAGCTGCTGGCAGCACCAGGCTGGCGGGGGGGGGTTCTGAGGGCCCCAGCCCTGCTGCAGGGACCCCAGGCTCCCACCGCAGGTGGACACACTGGGATCCACTGCAATGATCCAGTTGTGGAGTGCACAACACTCACTGCAGCCCCGGGAGCCCACTCTGGTGAGTGCAGCCCCCCCGGAGAGGGCAGGGCTTGAGGGCTCCCCACTGCAGAGCCCCAGATGTCAGCGCTGTGGGAAGAGCTGATCCACAGGTGGGATGTGCCCCCCACGGCCGATGCTTTACCACCCCTGCTGAAACCAGGGCTGCAGGACCAGGAGCTACTGCCACGCTCACATGGGACTGTCCCCACGGCCAGGGCATGTTGCACAAGTCCCCACGGCCGCATCCAGCCCAAGGCCACTCATCCCGACACTAATTTATAATCTCTGTTTACAGCTTGCTGCAGACAACTTCCTTCTTTGCGTTTCCTTTTCAGCCCTCATCCTCCCACGAGTTTCTGACTCTGCAAGCCCCCAGCTGCCCTCGGCAGGGGCGGGGAAGCACCGCGGCACACCCAGCAGCAGCACAGCCATCCCGGGAGTGGAGCACGTCACCGGGGCATCCCTCAACACCCCGGGTAGTCTCTCGAGAAAAACAGGGCTGCCCCACCAGCACCTTTCTGACTGGCTGCCCCGAGAGCTGCTCAAAGGGAGGGGAGGATTGCACCAGCCCAAATCTGCCTGCAGAGCTTTTATTGCTTGGGGAGCTGTTTACATCCCAAGGAAGCACCGCTTAGCAGGGCAAAGTACGCCCACGCTGGGAATGCTTTGCCGGTGAGGTGATCTATAGTCTCTAGGGCAGGTAAAGGTGCACGTAGCCAGGGAAGAGCTGCTGCCTCCTGCCTGCTCTGCCCCGGCACTTGTTGCCCACTGCCACATCCCCAGCACTGTCACGCCAACACAGAGCTGCCACAAACCCTGTCCCACCCCACACTCTGATGCCACCTCTCAGATAACCTTAAAGAGGAGCCAGGAGATCCCTCCAGCTGTCCCCTTTCCACCTGGACGTCCCCTCTCCCTCAGTCCCTGAATAACCTGGATGAGTTTGTCCAAAGCAGAGATGGCTGGAGCAGGATGCTCAGCCCACAGCTCTTCAGGGCTGGACAAAGGCACCACAGCTTTCCAGCCCCAGCACTGCTGGAGAAAGTTGTCCCTGTGGTGCAGACGGACCTTCACTCACCATCACAGCACGGGAGCAGGGGGATTTGGGCTGGAAACACACCCCAGGTGTGGCTCAGCACTGCTGCTCACACTGGAGAGGCAAAAGGCAGCTCAGGGTGATCACAGCCCTTTATATTTCCTCGGTCTGACATGCTACTGCTGTCCCAAGTACACAGATAAGACTTCGCTATCTTAACAGCAGGCAGCTGGGAGGGAAAAGCCTCTGATAAGGCAGGACTCCTCCTCAATTGCAGCCCTGGCTCAGCCTTAGCTGAAACGAAACAAAATCTAATGCCTCAGAGGAATAGATCACTTTTCCTCATGATTACGTGTCAGAACTCTTCTGAACACAGCTTGGGGACCGGTGGTTATCACCACTGGGTGCAGCCAGTCCGGCCCAGCCACGCCACAGACAACCAGACTTTGGAGCCTTTCAGGCTCCTTACACAACCACAGCCAGAGAGAGCACAGAGGACACATACATTTATATCTAATAAAGACTGTTCCTGTCCTGCCTTAGCCCCCGCTTTGCAACCCCAGCTGTTGCACCCAGACGCAAAAACACAAATAAACCAGCAACACTCTTTCAAAAAAATATTTATTAACTCATTAAAGTGACCTGTCGCTGCTGCTGTTGCCAGATAAAGTTTGGAGAAACCCCAGCACTCCAAGCACCCGACTCCTTCCAGCCGGAGACAGCGTGAGCGTCGCTGCGGCCGCAGGGCACATGGGGGCCCTGGGATGGGACCTGGTGGGAGCCGCAGCAGGTAGGGCGGCTGAAGGAATCCTGGGGGGGAAGGGGGTTGAACACCCCACCACGGAACAGCTGCTCAGATCCGGCGGGGAGGGACCGGCAGCGCCCGGCTCCCGCGGGATGAGGTGCCCGGCAGGATGTGGGGACCGGGGACACCGGGGTCCCCCCTTGTGAGGAAGTGTGAGCTCCTTGGAGCGTGGCCACTGGGCTCAGCTCTGCACGTTCAGCAGTACGGCTCTGCCATGCAGAATGAGCTTCCCAACCAGGGCTTTGCTTAAAAATCGCCGTTGGCTTAAAAAAAAAATCCCAAAGAATGGATTTTTTTTTTTTTTTGAGAAAACTAGAAAAGGACCCTAAATCCTCAGAAGTCACAGCTCTTCCCGGCCCTCTGGGTTTCTCTCTTCCCACTCCTTCCCCCAGTAGACCTGGGCAACCACCATGACCACTGTCACAACAGCTCCCACTTGTTTCTGCCACCCAAAAATGCCAGTGTCACACACAGAACCCAACCTCCCGGGGCCTGCACCCAAGCTGCCACAGAGCCCTTCCTGGTGTTGATGATTGTACATATCCATGGAATTCCTGCTCTTGGCATCCCCTCTCCATCCCTGCAGCCCCTGGGGATGGGGAGCAGCAAGCTCCCCTTATGCCAGACCCCTTGGCAGCTTCACTTGCTCTTCCTTTTGCTCCTGCCCACTCCTCCAATGGACGTTGCTCTGGCTGAGCCTGCCTATGAGGCAGGGTTGATGAGCCAGAGCAGGATAACTATTCCAAGAGAACAGGGGAGGAAAGCTTTATAAAAAAATAAACTCTTTTTTTCTTCTCTCCTCCATACAGGGCAGAGCACTTTTGCCTTTCCCTTCTCTGGGCATCCTTCCTCCCCCTTCCTTTCCTCTGACCTGAACCTCCTCACTCCCAACACGAGCCGCTCTGAGTCTTGTCAGCCCGTGCCCCTTGTGACACCACTCCTCGTCCCACAGTGCAGCCAGAGAAGAGGCAGTTCCCCCCAGAGTGGCACAGCCAGCGTCCCCTCCAGGCAAGTCCCCCCCTCTCACTTCTGCTCCGCCTCGTCGGCCACTGCGGTCACCTCGATGGCGGCGGCAGCGTGCTCGTCCCCGGCAGCCTCGGCGGCACCAGATGGGACAGTCACAACCGTGCTCCCGCCAGGAGCTATTTGTGTCACATTCTGGATGGTCGTGCCGAGTCCTGGCAGCGTCAGGAGCTGGAAGGGGCTCACCACCTTCACCACTGTGCTGCCGTCCTGGACCGCGGCCGTGCTCAGCACCGTCAGGTTGGAAGCGTCCGGGTGGATCTCCACCGTGCTGGGGAAGGTGGAGCCGGCGGAGGCCAGCACCGTGTACCCCCCCAGCAGTGGGGAGGCCGGGGAGCTGGCGGCGGGGGGCTGGGTCGGGCTCTTCCCCAGCACTGAGGGCGGGAGGGCCGAGACCACTTTGCCGAGAGGGAGGTTGGCAATCTGGGAGACTGGCACGCCAGGGGTGACGGCGAGCTGTGCCGGCTGGGACAGGACCTGGGAGGTGATGGCAGCTGGTCCGGAGGTGGCCCTGGTCAGCCTGGGACGTTTCAGAGGTGTGGGGACGGAGACAGGAGTGAGGGTCATCAGGACGTTGTTGAGATGCTGCGATTTGTGCTTCAGCTCCTTCGCTCGCTTGCGGTGCTCGTCACACTGCTGCTCCAGAGCTGGAGAGAGAAGAGGTTTGGCTCAGCCTGGATCCTGGACAAGCTTCCCAGGGACTGTGGCAATGCCTGGAGCCAGTCCCACCATGGCTGGTTTAGCAAACACCAGCTTTAACACAAACCCCACTTTCTTAGCCCAAAAGAGAAGGCAGCGATGACCAGTGTCACACCAGTCTGAGGACATACCTGCCAAATCCCGTGTGTACTGCTCCCTCGAGCGATCCATCTGGCACTTGTGGCTGGCCAGGACCTTCTTGACCAGATCCAGCATACCAAAGTTCTGGACTACGTTGTTGAGTAAAACAGCATCTTAAAAAACAAGACACAGACCTTTGAGGAAGCAAAATTCCCCATGCAAACTACTTACGGCTTGGAAAAAGCCACACGACAGCAAACACGTCCAGCTGAGACAGCCAAAATCTGCAGGAGGGTAACGCAAGAGGCTGGGGAAGAGGAGAAGGCAGAAGCCATGAGAAAGGGTAAGAGGTCTCCGGCATGTAAACAGTCCTCTCCTGCCTAGCAGGGGTGAGAAGAAATCTGCTGGCACAGTAGCTGCTTGCTGTATCGTTATTCCAATGGCCCAAATTCCACCTCAGTTCCCAAGCCAAGCATTTGTCCAGACCCAAAGCCAGCAGAGAGGAAGCCCCAGGCCCAGGGAATTGGAGAACTGAGGTCACCTGAAGTGTCCCTGAGCACAACCAAGAGCCTGCCCAGGGAGCAGCCAGAAATGGGATTTTTTATGATGAGCTATGTTCCTATAGTGCCATCCATATATCCCCAAGGCGAAATAAACCCACAAGCCCCTCTCCCAAGATGACTGAGCCCTGGGCCCAGGTCCTTACCCCCAAGCTGCAGCGGGGGATCCTGCGCTCGCTGCTGCAAGCCCTTCATGGTCTCCACCAACTCCTGGTGGAACTCGTGGATCACTTCTTCCAGGAGACCCGTGTCCTTCAAACCTTGCCAAAAAGCAAAGGTGTCATCTGGAGAAAGAGAAAACAAGGAGAACCTCAAAATCCTCAGTGGGGGTTTAATGGCCATCTGCTGTGGGTTTGCTGCAGACACCCCCTGCAGGGGTGCAGCCCTGCTGGGCTGGAGGTCAGGGGGCTGGGGCAAGGCCCACCCAGAGCGTGGGCCCAAAGGAAGGGCAGTCAGAGAAGGACATGCTTTCCCAATCCCTGTCCCCCACAAACAGGACACTGATGCTACAGAAAAGCCCAGTGCTCAGAGCACACCAAGGAAAAAGAATGATTTTATGACCCCTCTGATAGTTGTTTTTTTTTTTTAACCCCTAGAGCCACATTTGGCCGTGGCTTTGACATCTTAATGCTTGGAAACAACTTCATCCCCAGGTGATGCTGTAGCCAAGCCCACGCACCGGTGGGATATAACACCACGCTTTGCTCTGTAAGCAGCAAAGGAATAATCCCAGTGGAGATTCATGCAAGGCTGATCTGTCAAAAGGGTCCTTCCTGCTCTTCATCCCTCCTATTTCCCTCTTTCCCCACATCTCCTTCACCCGGCTGGGCCAAGCCCAGCAGGATTCTCAAGCCATACCTCCAATGCTGGTGCTCCAATCACTGGCATCCTCACATGTTTCTATGGTTATTGTAGCTGGGGATCCGTTCACTGCAACCAATAGCAAAAAAGAAAAGAAAAAAAATTCCCAAGTCCTGATTTTTCCCTGTATTTTCACAGGCTGTTTCCAAGGGAAGCACTCCCTTGCTGCACTTCCATGATTTCTCCTTTTTATTGGACGGGATCACTTTTGTTTGAATCCAACTCTCAACACCAAACAGAGGGAGACGCCCAAGTGGTTGCCGTGCCAGCTGTACTTATTTTTCCACATTGGAGTGCAATCCCCAGGGATTACTCCTGCAACCCTTGCAGCACAAGAACACATGCTCAAGAGCAGCATTTCCCTCCCACTTTCCCCTGCAAACACACCAGTACTGCTAAGGGCAAAAGTCAAACAGATTTAGTCTGATTTTTCTGGCAGCCCTTTTTACCCAGCCACCGTTTGTCTGGAGGGTTTCTAAAGCCTCGAAGGGGAGAGCAGCCCCCCAGCTGTGCAGGGATGCAGGAGGGCTCCCTCCCTCCCTCCAGCTCTGCCAAATCTCAGCGGTTTTGTTACCATAGAGCCAAGGAACCGGCGTCATTCAAGCCGTGCGCAGGAGCGGGATGGATGGGAATCTGGCCAGAGCCCCACGGAGCTGTGCAGAGTGTTTGGAATGCTCAGCTGCTGCCATTAAATCCAATCACTCTGCTCCTTTACTCCACAGCCCTCAGGGCTCTGGTTATTCCAGCACAGCTCAGTGGCGTGGGAAGTGTCTCCCATCGGTGAGTTGATGTCCATGTTTAACAGGAGGGCTTGGAGCAGGCTGTGCCGTGCATTGGCATCACCTTCCCCACCTCAACACCAGGATGTGGTGCCATGGGAACTTTGGAGAGCCAGACAAGGGGCTTGCCCTGTCCCACAGCACCACTAGGAGCTTGGGACGTGGGGAACTTTGGGGGCTGTTCTTCATGCTCAGATGGAAAAGTTGTTATGAAATATAGAAGTATTTCAAAATTAGAAAGCTTTCCAATAGAACAGTCGCCTGTAATTACAGGTCAAGTTCACAAAATCAGAGAATGGTTTGGGTTGGGAGTGACCTCAAAGCTCGTCTCATTCCACCTCTCTGCCATGGGCAGGGACACCTTCCACTATCCCAGGTTGCTCCAAGCCCCGTCCAACCTGGTCTTGAACACTTCCAGGGATGAGGCAGCCACAGTTTCTCTGGGCAACCTATGCCAGGGCCTCACCACCCTCACAGGGAAGAATTTCTTCCCAACAGCCAATCTAAACCTACCCTCTTTCAGCTCAAAGCCATTAAGTTCAGGGCTACAGCTACGTAGCCCCATCACTTTCAAGATCTACATTCACAAGTGCAGATAAAAAAATAATCTGCTGCATCCCCCAGTTCTCTTTAATCTTTCATCAGACCAACCTGATAAGTGAGCCTTAAATAAAACCCCCTAAATTATTCCAGAAGAAGTCAGGTTAGAGCTGAGAGGAGAAGGGACTCCTACCCAGGCACCCTGTGCAGCAGGAGAAGCCAAGCTGATCCCTACGGACACAGCCTGACCAGCAGTGAGGACAGAAGGGAACTTCATCAAGCAACAACTACAGATTAATTGCAGTCCTCTGCTTCAGCTGCCTGGTTTTGGGAAAGGCAGGAGGCCAGAAGGGAAGCTCCAGCCCTAAGGGACCTTGGTTACGCAGCATGGTTCCTGTGCTTTGATGTGAGGAATGGCTGGACGTACCATCAGCAGTGGCAGGAGTCAGAGGGATGTATTCTGTCGATGTCTGGCTGGTCAGGGACACCCTGGCTCCAGTCAGGTCGATTTTGGTGCTCCGGCACGTGTTGGAACACACCTTCGTGTGCTGGTAGAAATCCAGCTCTCCTGAGTCCATGATCTTCCTGAAAGAAGGGGAGCAAGCACAGGGACAGGCACGTCAGCAAGAGCCCAGAGCTCCGAGATGCAGCTCCTGGCAGCCTTCACACCAAACTTCTCAGAGGCAACAGGAGCCCTTACTGGAGCTGATGAACTCGTTTGTTGTGGAGGAAGGGGAGGAGAGAGTCCCTCTCTGGTTGCACCAGCACATCCCCTCAGAAGCTGCAGCTTCCAGCAGAAGAATCAGCTCGAGTCTCAGTTCAGGGTGAGACCACAGGGAGCCTCTTCCTTCCTTCCCTTTCTGACTCTACACCTCAAAAAAAGATGGGGCATAACCCTATTCATAAACTAAAATCAGGTCTCTCATCTCAAGCAAAGGGGGTGGCAACACTGGTGTATGGGATCTTCCCAGTCTAAGCACGTTGTCTCCGAAGCATCCCCAGGCCTTGCTTCCCAAGATTTGCAAATTCCCAAGATTTGCTCCGATGGGCTGCTGGGTTTGCCTTCACACATTCCTCCTGAAGTTGTTTTTTTTTTTTCCCCTCAAAGCCCTGCCTTGTCAAAGCCTAAGCCTATTATGCAAAATCTACGTGGAGCAAAAGCTGCTTAAGAGGAATATGGGAGAGGCCTGCATTGAAGCAGAAGAATACAGGGAGAGGCAATGTCACCCTGTGAAAAGAGCACAAAGCCACTGACAATTCCTGGAGAAAGAGGTGATGCTTTTTTATCCTGCCCAAAGGCAGAGACAGACTTTAATTAAATCACAGTCTCAGGCTGGTGTTCAGGAAGACCATAGAAGAATTGAATTACTGTAGTTAAGACTAGACAAGATAAATGCTTGCATAAAGAATCTCTTTTTTTTTTTTTTGCCAAGTGATGTCAAGCAGACGTGCTGCAGCCAGAGCATTAGTGATGACCAGACCAATTCCATCTGGTGGGTCATACTGGGAACCCACAGACAGTATGGTCTGACCACCAATGACCATTAAAATTTCCAGTGTCCTTACACCAGCTGGGATCTCAGTGTGGTTCAAGTCCTAAAATGACCAGAGAAATATTTCTTGCCCCAGATTATTCCCTAGGCACAAGGACAGAGCAAAGCCATTGGACTGACCACATTTGGGGCCAGGCTGTCATTAAAATAAATGTTTAGTGGTTCATTTGCTCCCTCAGCAGGAAAACAACCGTGCCAAAGGCTCTGTTCTGCCCCACCACTATTGCCTGAGAGAGGAGTGTCCACAGATAAAAAGGAAGAGACTCACCGGAGCATGATCCCGTTCATCCGGATCGCCCGCTTCCAGTCCTTCAGGGTGGACTTGCCTGCCAAGTGGACAAACTCCTTGGGGCTAATTAGGTGATCATCGAACTGCAGAAGGCAGAGGTGCAACATCATTGCCACAAGCTGTAAATAACCCAGGGGTGCCCTGCGAGCAGGGTTCAGCCGCGGAGCCCGGCGGCAATTCCCGGTGCCCAGCAGTGGGTGCAGCTGCACTGCAGCCTCCACGTGCCATTTAACACCACCAAACCAGATGGCTGGCACACACTTCCCACCCCAGAGAACCCTGGCCAAGTTAAAAAGATTAAAGCCAAACATGGATGGTTAGTTAACAGCTGCTCAGAGCCAAGGGCCTGGGGTCTGTGTGAGTTCGGAAGTGCCCGGCCCAGGCAGGACAGCTGGGAAAAAACACCCGGAGCTTGTGCAAAGTATCATTAACAGCAGGGAGCTGCTCACACTCCCACTAACAGTGGACTCAGCAAAAGCTGGGCTGCACCAGTAACATTTGGGTCCAAGGACACGTTAAGGCCCACAGGAGAGAGGGAAGAAGCCCATTTGTGGGGTCAAAGACCATTTGGTCTTTGACCTCCTGCTCCCGAGCCCAACCATTGGTATCAGTGGAACCTCTGGCCTCTCTTGCAGTATACACCCCACTTCTACTGAAAACCAGCTTCAGGCATCTGGCACACACCTTGCCAACTCTTTCCCTTTCTTTTATTGCCCTACACACCCAGCCATGACTGAACACACGTGCTGACCTAACAGCAAACTGCAGAATCACAGAATTATAAAATCATTAAGGTTGGCAAAGACCTCCAAGTTCCTCAAGTCCAGCTGTGAACCAGGCAGCTCTCTAAAGCATTACCTTACAGCCCATCTCAAAGGATTTCCCAAACCCAGGTCTCCTCTTCTCCATGCCCATGTTGACCAACACAGAGCAACACCATCATCAGTGCATGAGAAACTGCTTCTCTTAACAAGGACATGGGCTTCAGTGCAGAGGATGGATTTTAGGTGGCAGCAACATTACCTGCAGCAGTACCTGCCCTCTGCCTTGGGGATGGAGAAGGCCATCTCTCCTAGGAAAGACAAGGACCATCCTTTGGGAGTCCTCTTGCAGCAGAGCCCAAGGAGACTCTCCCTTAGCAGGGTATTGTTTTGGGCCATGTACAAATGCCAGCAATGACTCACTCATGGTGCATTCCTGAATTCATGCAAATTTTAACCATGAACTACCCAGGACACAGTAGCAGCTCTTCAGTAGGTCCCCACTTCTCAAACCATCAACTTTCCAACTGAGCAGATACTGGAAGTGCCCAAATTTCTCAAAATTTTCAATAACACGTTTAGTTGAGGCAGCGTCTCTCCAGCCAGAACTGCTTGACTTGGCCAAGACAAATATCAGGTACCAAGTACCAGGAAAATTTCCTCCTTTCCCAGCATGATGTGGTTCTGATGCAGTTACCACAGCTCATCACAACCAGGACAGGCCAGGTGAGCCCACAACACGGGCATGAGCCCAGAGTTGGGGTCTCTGCTCTCACCTGCACACACTTCACATTGATCCCGGGGCACACAAACTTCCTCCAGATGAGGTTGGCTTTGCTGTCCCCGCAGGTGATGGGGTAGACAATCTCTGCCTCCAAACTGTCCTCATCTTCAGCCATCTTCACTTCTCACAGGGATCAGAGGAAGGGACAGATCAAAAAGAAACATGAGCCACAGCCCCCCATTCACCTCCCCGAGGCATACATGCAGTGAAAAGCAGTTTTGAAAGGAATGAAGGAATGAAAAAAGAGTAGATGTTGCATGATGGAGTGTATTGGGGTTTGTGGCCACCACTCACTTGCACTTTGCTACTAAAGCATCCAACCACCCAAATTTCTCAGGCAAAACAGCCCAGGCAGATTTATGCCAACTGAGCTGCAGCTGAGCACATGGAATCTAAGAAGTCAGTGGTCTCACTCTTGATAAAAAAAGAAAAGAATGATGTTATTTGGGTGGAGACACCCTTGGTTTTAGCCTAAACCTGGCTTTAAGTCAACTCCAGCCCAGCTGGTCACAGTTTTTGCTCCCCAAATTCACTTTTACCTGTAACCAAAGCCAGTGAGTTTGCTGCAAAACTGCCATCCCCATGGCAGGCTGGAAGGGCAGAAGCCAGGGATGGCCAGGCACAGGGACTCATCCCGGACCAGGAGAGGGCAGCAGAAACCCAGCCAGGCACTACCAGCTCCCTCCTGATCACCCAACCCCCTGCTGCCCACTGGGCTCCCCTGGATGCTGGGAGAGCATCCCCAAGGCCAACAGGAGAACATCCCTGGTACCCTGGCAATTCCGCACAGCAGTGCCTGGACTTTCTCGACCAGCACCAGAGCAGGGTTGTGCCACATTTGGGGTAGTGGAGCTGGCACAGCTCAACCAAGGGGCTATGGAAGGAGCTGACCTACCTAGAACCGCTTCCTTCAGGTGTGTGGAGGCCGTGAAAGCAGCAGCAGCTGCAGCAGCTGCATTTTCAGTCTCCAGAGTGTCTTCGTTTATGTCACCGCTGGAAAGAGAGTCGGAGACATCCTTAAGCCATGTGGCTGTGCCACCCCCACACCCGATGCCCCGTGGAGACGTTGCCTCAGAAGTCCCTCAGACCACATTTTCCCACAAGAGCTAAAAGTCAGCTCTGGGTTTGGGAGGCTCAACTCTGTTTTTCCATGTGGAGATGAAGAGCCCCACAGCAGGCAGGCCCCTGTCAGCAGCCTGGCTGGCTCTGCCTTGCCTGCCCTTTAATCCCAGCCCCATGGAGCTGCCTCTGGCCCAGCCCATGCTGGAGAGCTGGCGTGGAGGGATGCTGTCAGCATAGCCCCTTGCTCAGAAGTCACTGCCAGCTTCTGGCAGCTCTGCCTGAGATCTCCCCAGGAAAAACATGTGTGAAACATGCTGCTGCTGTCTGGGCAAAGGACTGGCTGAATCCCCTGGTATGCAGGATGCTCGTGGGAGCGGGACCTCAAGGAGCCACAGAGACACTGTAAAGAAGTTTGACAAATCCCAGCAGCAGATCTGTGAGCAGAGATGACATGAGCTACAGACCCTCACAATCTGATCTCTGAGCCTCTTAGAACCTGATATACCCATGATATCCACTAATAGCTAGATATCCAGCTGCTTCCATCCTTCTCACACTGGAGATCTCCGCCTTCTCTTAGTGTTTTGCCCACAGAGTCACACAGTGGGTCCTGCACAGCACCCACACCCTCGTTGTTCTCTCATCCCAGCTCTCACTGTGGCATACAGAGCCTCAAGTCCCTTCAATGAGCTTTGGTGCACACTCTCAGGGAACAGGCATTTGGAGCTGTGATCAGGGACATGTTCCTCACCCCCTCAATGGGTACCCCCATCTGGTACCCCTACAGATCTGACCTGTGCATCACAGCCAGTGCTCAGCAGGGACCGTTCCTAATGGGTTTTCATTAAACCACAAAATGGTTTGGCTTGGAAGAGACCTTAAAGACCATCTCATTCCAATCTCCCTGCCACGGGCAGGGACACCTTCCACTAGAACAGGTTGCTCCAAGCCTTGTCTGACCTGTGCTTGAACACTTCCAAGGATGGGGCAGCCACAGCTTCTCTGGGCAACCTGAGCTGGTGCCTCACAACCCTCAAAGGGCAAGATTTCTCCCTAAAATCCCATCTAAATCTACCTTCCTTTTAAGATGAATGCTTGGTAGTGTTATTGAAGATGAGTAATTGCTGCATCAAGCTTGTCCTGCAGGGGAAGGGGGGTGAAATACAATTAGCTTTTCACTTAGGCATATAAACTTTCTAGGAAGACTGTATGGAGAAAACAAACCTGAAATCTATCCCAGTTTGGTATCATGGGTGAATTAAAAGATGGTCCTAATGACTCACTGCCAACCGCATTTTCCACCTGCGGTGCCACGGGGACAAGGAAATTCAAGAGCAACTGGTTTTTCCATCCTGACTCCTAACACACAGCTCCAGGGTGGAACTGCAGCTTCAAAGCATCCCTCCCCTTGGCAGCTGCAGGGCAGGTACCTGTGGGGAGCAGCACGGAGATAAGGAAGGTGTGGGCGGCAGCTCGGCCTCACCAGGTGAGTAACTTGGAGATGCTGCTCCAGAGAAGAGAGAGATGGAAGCAGATCCAACTGTGACAGAAAGAGGATGGATGTCACAGTGCCTCTGCACCTCCCAGAGACCAACAGCCCAGAGCCCTGGGAGGGGAAGGAGATGGGTAACACAAAAGGACTCGAAAAGGTAAACTCTTTGCTAAGGCATCTGCACACAGGTGAGTATTAGAAAAGTGGCAGTCTGACAGAAGAACCGTAACCTGTTTATTTTTCATGAGTTTGCTGCCGGGTTCTTGCATTTCTCCAGGTACATTTGGAGAAAAGTATGTACCACTTCAGCAGGGTGCCAGAGGCAGCAGCCACCTCTGGTGTGCACAGCCCAGCATCCCACAGCTCTGACCCTGACCTGCCTCCACCTGCCACCAGATCAAGAACCAACACCAACTTACCTAGAAGAAACCCCTGCAGCAGAAAGTCAGCACCTGAAACAGAGCTTCCCCCAGGACTCCATCGCATTCGCACCGCTCCGAAAAATGACCGAAAGGCACGAGTGGATGGGGAGGAATAACCCAGCCCACGCCCTAAACCTCCAGAGGAAAACAAACCAACTCCAAGCTTGTACTAAAAATTCAAGCCACTAAAGTCTGTGTCTGCCATGGAGATATAACTGGGGAAGAGATAAAACCACAAGAAAAGGCGAGCGTCTCCACACTGCTTCTCCCATCCCATTCCAGGGGCAGATGCAAGAGAAAACACAAACATCTTCCAAGCCCCAGCAGTGCAACCCCTCAAGCCAGTCCTGCCTTTGCTGGTTGCCATGACGAAGCCCAGGGAGGACGGTTCTCATCTTCCTCCCCAGGAGGATCCATAAACCAGATGGGAGGAAGAGAAGAAAGCACGTGTGGATAACACACCAGGCTGGCGTCTCCTTTCTCCTCTCTCCTGCCTCGCCTGGAAACTTGAGAGAAAAAAGTCTCCCCCAAAAACCTTGAGCTGGGGCTGCTGATCAGAAATACAAGTACCTTGTCAGAGCACCAAGCATAGACCCCTTCTAATCGCAAACCAAAGAGAAAAGCTTCTTGCTCATTATTATTTTCCCATTTCCCTCTGCCTTTTCCTTAAAAACACGAACTAATTAAGCTCTTAACAATTGGTTGCATAGGGAGTTTTTTTAATAGCAAATCCATACCCAAAGGAGCACTAGAAAAAAGCACCAGCCCCCAAGCTGAGTTTGGTTTAAGTGCCACACAAGGCAAGTTGAAAGCTCCCCATGTGAGCACTGACTGAGCCAACACCAAGGGATCTCAGCCCTGCAGTCACTCTCCTGATGCCAGCTGGGGCTACAGAGGGAAAGAAAGCCAGCACCCCTGTGGGAGTAGAGCCCCATGAAGGCAACCATCCAAAGCCATGGAGAGACTGTGGGTAGCTCATGCTGCCACCCTCCACCAGCCCCACTGCCCTGCTCGGCAAGAAGAGTCAGGCAGGTTTTGCTCCACGACCCCAAAATCCACATCCTTTCCATGGACCCACTACCATCCCCAAGCAGGGGGGAGTCAGGAGCCTGCTCAGCAGCCCTTCTCCAGAGAGCTGCATGGAAAATCCTCAAGGAATCTCTTCGTGCCTGCCAGGGTATCTCTGCTCACAGCTGCGACTAAATGAAAATGTTCCTCCCTCTGCTGTGCAGAGCTGTCCCGCTCCTGACCATCCAGGGGACACTGGGAGGGTGAGAAAAGGTTTCCAAGCTAAAACAGGAGGGGAACTAAGAGGAAAAAGAAACCAAACTGACTGAGCCAAACTCTGCCGTGGTCCATGTTCCCAGACAACATGCACGTGGATCTGCAGAAGCACAGAGCCACTTTACAACCAGGAACCATCCTGCATCCAAGAGCAGACATATCCCAAGTTTCATGTCTGGCTGCTTCTCCACTGAGGGAGCCAAGGAAGTCACCATGGGACAGAAAGCAAGAAGAGTGGAACCCTTCTTCCCCACCATCACCCACTCTTCTGGGAATGGAGAAGGCTTTTGGAAGCACTCACAGACTCAGGATGTGGAGGAGCTGGGCAGATCCTGCCCATCCCAGCACTGACAGCTCTTCCTCTGCCTGTGTCCCTGTCCATTCTCTACCAGAAATTCATCTGTTAATGGGTTTTATCCCATTGGATTGGAGCAGCACAAAGGGAATGCACTGTCCCCTTCTGCCCTGCCCAAAGCCCCAGGGCACTGACACAAAGACATGTTTGAGAAAAGGAGACAAACACCTCCTTCTTATGGAGAGGAATAAACAGCCACTCACCACCTACTTATTTCAAGTACAGGGACTTCTGGATCAGATAAACCTGCCTGGATCCGGCTCCAGGTGTTAATCTGGATTTTCTGCCCAGCAAAACAGCAAAGCACAAAAATGGCTCTGGGCACCATCCCATGAAAAACATAAAGAAATAAAGCAAAGAGCCCATCACCACATGGGCCTTCAAGGTACCAGCCAGGCTCCTTGGCCATGGCCCACCTGCCACTGAACAGGCCAGATCTGAACCAACAGCCTCAAATGCCAACAAAAAAGGCAGAAATTAGGCAAAGTAACAGCACTTGGACAACCAGACATGTTCACTCTGGGTTTTTTGAGCAGTGCCTCCCCATTCAGCCCTGTGTGGTTTCAAGGCCACCTCTCTCACTCCCATTGCTGGAAGTGGAGGTTCCCGCAGAGCCTGGTTGAAAAACAGCCCCAAACCCACCTACCTTCAGGGAAGGGGAGCCCAGCTGCATCACCCTCACCGTGCTGCAGCCAGACTCAACCCTTGGAGGTACGCAGCTTAGTGAAGCAATTGTGAAATAAATAGCAGAAAAAAATTGATTTAGCTACTGGTGTCCTGTTCCAACCGGATTTGTGTCCATTCCAACATCCACATCCACTCAGAAAAGGATATTTTGGGTTGGGGTTTCAGTTGCTTTTTTTTAGTTTTGAAATAAATAAATAAATAGATAAATAAATAAAA